ACGCTTGTAGCTCCGATGTATCAACAGTTACTTGTGGGTTGCTTTCGTACCCAGCGCGGATACTAGAGTTACTGCCTTCTTTCTGGAGTCACCCAATCCGCTTGGGCTGCGCATGCACGCCGCTTCGTTCCGTTCCGATGACAATCACCCTTGGGTGTGCTTTCGACTGCCGAAACGACGGGAGTAAAGATGTACTGGACTGCGAGCGAGGACCCTACCGCCGAGACAGAGTACAGGTAAGAGAGAAAGTCAAGAGAGGATGCCTGAAAAGCTGCTCACAGATGATCTCCGGCCGACTTGAGTTTTGGGAACGTTCGACACTACATAGGCGGATGCCCGCAGACAGACAGGTTGTCGGGAGAACCCCGCCTTCTTTTCTCTATCACTGGGGACAATGCCATAGATACTACTGCTAGTGGCGTGCTCACAGAGTCACTGCAGAGAAAGAGTTGGCAGAGGAAGTGCTGAGAAGAAGAAGAAGAGGAAGCATGGTAGTCCAACACCTCCCACCTATTGCCTGACGCACCCCAAAAGTCGCCACAACCCAGCGTGCTGTACCGCCTCACGAGGTGTGCGTGATCGCCTGATGTCCTCGCCAACTGGACCCCCCCCCAGCGAATCGGTCGAGGTCGTACTGGGGGGACCTGACGATAACGAGGAGATCACGACGGTGCCCTATAGTCGCAACTTGGAATCGTCAACCGAGGAGATATACGCTATTTCGGCGATGGTGAGGCGTTGTCGAATTTGGGTCAGGTTAAGGAGGGCATGTCGCCTCCGCTGCTCAACTGACCGGACGATGTCGGCGGCTCGGACGTGTTGAGCCTTAGGATCGGCACTCTGTGTAACACCTCGTCTGCCGCGAGAGGGTCTGAACGTAAGGATAGCAGCGTCTCTGTTTTCTGCAGAACGAATCCTGACCATTTTCGTATAGACAAGGCTCTACCCTCTCCGCGCTGATCCTCGCCCTTGGTCCTCTCCAGACGATTGGCAAGACACACCGAACTTTCCTTGACAAAGACCCGGTCACCAGCTACCCTGCGCTGACGGTTTCGACCACGAAGTACGTCGTGCCGGAGGTGAGTTCCTTCTCGAAAATTGAATTTACACTTGATAGCAGGCGCATTTCCGGCGTCTTTCTTTCGTGGATACAGACATCGGCCTGTCAGGTTTACCCAACCCGTGCTTTTCCCCATCAACGGACGTTGTCCGGCTGCCGCGTTCTTTCAACGTGCAAAGCGCGGCCCCGGGAAAGGCGCTAGGGGCGTCGGACGTGACCGCCTGTCATAACGTCCATGGTAATACTGCACACATGCGCGTCTGTCTGTACTGTGTGTTGAGCGCGTTCGTGCATGTGATCCTGTCCGTCAGAGAAGACCGACGTGCCTCTGAACCCGCCGTTCGCCTCCGCAGCGCTCCTTCGAGTCCGATCACGACGACGGTGAAACCGACGACTCGTCCGGCTCCAGCGACCACGCCATAGGCTTGCTGTACCTCCAAATATCCCAGGGCTCGTACTCGCTGACCGAGGTGGAGGACATCGAGCCTCAGCTGTTGGGAACTTTCCTGGGAAACGTGGGCGGTTTCTGGGGTACGTTTTCGGTGGTCTATCGTCAACACAGGAGTAGATTCCGCGAGGTTGACCCGGAGAAAATTCAACAATAGGTCTGCTACCATGCGTTGTTCGGTGCGACTGCGTCCTGGAACTGACGATTGTCAGGGGTGGGGGCGTGTGTGTCTACTTCGAAGAGTCCAAGTCTCTGTCCTGGCGCGAATTCCAGTCGAACGACCACCAGCGGCCTTCAGATTGCATCCGTTCGCTGCCCCGAACCCAACTGCTTGGTTGTTGTTGAGTACGTGGTCCATGCAGATACTTTATCCCTCCCTCTGGTCACAGTCAGGGCAGCTGCCATGTGTCCCAGGCCGACTCTTGAGCACGACGCCCTTGGCCGAACAGAGACGGCGAGTTGTACATAATGTGGCACAATAATAGCTCCCGCTCTGCCTGAACGGGGGAGAGCGCTCGCACATCCTGTTCCACCCTCTGTGACATCTGACATGTCCCCCCCCGCTTGAAAGCTACCGTGCGGCAAGTACGTGCCGCGTTTGCCGGGAGATTCTTCGTTTCGATCGGCGGGCGTCGAGTTTGCTTGTCGTCGAATCGTGCGTTCTTGGCAACTGCAAAAGCTTCGCTCTGCGAGGCGGATATGGTGCGACTCGAGCGGTGCTGACTGGAGAGTTTCCACACCCCCACAACTCTTTCCGTGGTGATCGTCATACAAAGTCAAGAATCTGTTCTCTGTCATCATGCCACCACCTCCTCGCTCGATGTTCCTTTTTTTCGCGCTGTTGGCTCCCATTCTTGGCCCTCAGAGCTACTCTTGCTAGCGTGGGGACTGTGCTTCATCAGTACCCTTCAGGCGCGTGGGGGTGCGCCCACGATGCAGGGGCGTAAGTTCACCTGCTGTTGTGGTGGGACAGGAACGCCGCAGCCTTCCACCTCCTCGAAAAGCCCAGCCCACCAGGTCCAGCCAGGAGCCAGGAAGAAGAAATCATCCATGGGAAAGGGTGACGGGGCCGAAGACTGCTGCGAGGAGGACATGGAGTGCGAATTCGAGTAAACGAGGAACACGCGCGGCACAAAAACGAGTGCATCACGGGGGAAGACACTCAGAACGCTCAGCCAGCCAAGCGTGAGCACGTCTGGGGGCACTAGGCAGAGTATTGATTTATGGAGACTACGTGGATATTATTAATGGTATGATGGACATGCGGGTTTTTCGTGTTGTTTTTTGTTTGATTGCCGTTTGGGTTTTTTTGATGACGTTTGTGGTAAAAGGGGTTGTCATAATAAAAACAAACAGTCTAGACTACACCCCTGGTACTCCGTACGTGCTCCGGAAGGGTACATGAATTGGTCAACGAATTGTTGAAACGTAATTTCAGGTGAGTTGAAATCTGAGCATTCAACCAACTCGGGAGATGCTTGTACTGTGCTTTGGGGGCAACTAAGTTGACGGTTTCAGGAATAAGGGGAGTTATTCGGATTAATATAGTCTCGTTTTACCGGGCAGTTCGTGAGGAGGTTTTCTTTCTTCATAATAGGTCGCATCTCGTACGGAGTACGGGGGGAGTGTTTGGGGTCACTCGGCAGAGTATTGATATACACGGTCTCCCGCTAGGTGGATGCTGTGGAAGAAGACTCTCGCGCCACCCATCATAGCTGTCTCTCGTTTTATTCTCAAGAACCAAACATCTTGAGCAGCATCCCTTCTCTTCCAGTCTCTGACGAAGCTGCCCCCGCACAAACATACCTGTCTGTATAGCTTTGATGAATATAGTACGATGTTCCTCTCACGCGGCAGGCACCATGTATCGTACGAGATGGGCAATCGTTCTCAAGTACCAACCCCGTTGAGGAAACAGGAAAAACTAGAGCAAGTCTACATTATTCCCGACAAGTCCCCACTCAAAGCAAAACACCATTTAGACAACTTCAACCATGATGCCCGGAATATTGGCCGGTTACCGTGGCAAGTTTCCGCGATCCTCCCGCGGAAAGTGGAAAGTTCCTCCGGCAACTAGGAAGTTTCCGCGCAGGGTCCGAAGTTACCACCAGAATGCCGGACTTTCGCGTTAACGCCGGACTTTCCACGGGAACTCTCCGCGAACCTTGCCACATTCTCGCTGGAGCTTCCAGACTGGTCGACATAGTTCCATTCTGTCCGTGGGAACTTTCCGCCGGAAAATAACTCTGGACGATTTCCGCGAAACGTTACCGTGCAAAGAGGCTTCCGCCGAAACTCTCTGTAATAAAAGGTGGTGTGCTTGACCCAAACCAATGGCGTCACTGTTGACGCTGACATTTTCTGCGAACGTGAAAGCAGAAGCACGACTACACGACACATGCCTGTTCCCATCGCACGTCCTTAGATTTTTCGCAACCGTACCCTCTACCCCCTCTCCGTCACTGCTGTTCGACAAAATATCCTGGGCAAAACTCGGTACAAGAGTGAAACGGTCGATACACACAAACTACCGACACCGCTTCTTCGCTGACAGGGAAGACGATATCTGGTAGTTCGGTAGCGCGCTCGTTTCCCCACCCCCCTCGCCGCCGTCACCACGGCCGTGTGCCGTGGGGTGTGTGATTCATCGGGTGGAAACACCACCAATCGGTTGCTTGTCAACCGCCGAATATGTTTGCAAGTGAAGGTATTAATCCGAATTCGCTTACGTACCGCAAATCGCTTCAACCACAATAGTGCCTGTACATATGAACGAAAATATGCTTCGATAGCAACGTCGACCGCACCCATCCAAATGTTGCAACAGATCGGACAGAATTTGGAGGAGTTTGTGGCCCGGCTCGGTTCAAGAAACCATTCATCACTTTCTTCGACGCTTATCACCCCATTGTCGTTCGGAAGAAGAACGGCGCCTGCCTCCAAATCGCACAAAAGGTGATGGAAGAATCAAGGATGTACTTCTTGCATGCACATCAACTCGCGGTCATGGACGGCGACAACAGGATCGCGGCGTTGTACGAAAATGGACATCAGCATCTCACAACGTTTAAACGGAAACGTAGGAATCACATGGCACCACGTAGCCGGGACATCCTGATCCTATGGCTTGCCCGCACGTGGGCAAGATGCAAGAATTCATAGTTGTACCACCTGTGCTGAACAAATGTCTACGCGATTACCCGCAACCCTGTGATCCTCCCCGATCGACTTGAAACGGCCACGCTAAAGGGCTAAACAAAAACCGAGCCTCACGACAAACAAACAGGGCTTTCACCGACGACAACACGACAATATCCATCCACACTATTTTCCTGACCACACCAACAAGCAAACACGGGCAGAAGACACATTCCTTGTTACCAGCTATCGGAGGACACAGGAAATACGCATACACACAACGTACGTATTGACAGAGTTTCCTCGAACTTCAGGTTGTCACGTCACATTGAGGTGAGGCACGAAACAATTGGTACATCAATATTCTACATACGAACACTAGATGGCACCTGCACAGCATGCTGCGCTGCCGAAAATCTTGAGAGTGATGGCTCGCTCAATTCAAGCTACCACCACCAGAACGGACCAAAAGAGCGTCGGGCCACAAGGGCGCAAGATGCCGAGTACTGTAGGACATACGGTTCAACCGAAGGAAGCGACGCTGATCAACTCTCAAGCAAACACGTACATGAAGTTTTAGGGTTCGATAATACGGAAACAAGTCATCGATCGCCCCAATCAATCAAAACACGAATGCTCTCCATCCACCTGAATCTAATGTGTACATCCATTTGTATGCGTACGTCCTCTAAAGTCGACCTTTATCCGTCGTCCACACTACTTTTATAGGTTAAGAACACGAAACTTGATCAAATATACCCCGAACTTGTTCCAAATGAGACCGACAGTCGTCTTTCTTTCGGGCAAACATTCACGAATCAAACAATGTTTTTGGCCACCCCACATGGTTAGCAAGCAAAATCTAACCACTTGAAACTCTTCGATCAATCGAATCGCCTCGCGCGCATCGTAAAAAAAAGAATGAAAGGTTTCCAACATGTCTCGAGACCCCGCGCACCGTGCCGCCGTGGCAACGCTGCGGTACCGGGGTTTTGCTCAAGTGATGCTCAGAAAAAGTAAAATTGCAACTCCCCGCCAACCCGCAAGAAGAAGAAGAACAACAGCCCAGGGGGGGTCAAGGTGACTCTCGACCAAGCGCGCGAGACACTCCTCCTCTACTACCCGGCCATGGCACAATCTTCCTCATTTTCACCACCACTGCACGACTACCCACCACGCAAGGAAGCTTCAGCCAGCTCCTCCTCTGGAAGCGTGGGCCAATGAAACGGAGAGAGTGACGTCACTCTATCTCTATCGGGCAGAGGTGGTTGAGCATGAGGGTGTTCCACTCCTCGACGACGCCGGTTTCGGACCAGTGCCTGCAGTCGATCGGACCGGAAGCCGCACCGCGGCCGTCGTTCCTCATCCGGGGCTGCTTCATGGTAGACGGCTGCAATTCAACAACAATCAATCACGCGAAAACGACACGCACGCACGCACGCACGCACGCGGCAGGCGGAGAAGGAGCAGAAACGTTGTTGAAGACCCGCAAGGCTGCAGCAGTAAGTTCGTAATAGTGGTCATCCATTCCCCGGTGCCATTGTATGTTCAATTGGTGTCGACGTGGTCTGTGTTGTTTCAGATTGTGGAGCTCATCAAAGCCGGTGCCGTTGTACGTTAAATTTGGAGGCGACGGGGGCCTGTGTTAGTGTGGCAGGCATCATCGTGCCGCTGTAACCGTCAATTGCTTCGAGAACGTCGTGTGTGCGTCTACATATACATGGTACCGCCCACGCACTCACCGGCGCAAAGTGACACGTGTGATGGGCCGCTCCCCGTGGCACCGACATGTCGTAGATTCGAAGCAGCTTGATCCTGTCCTCGAGACCGTTGTCGCGCACGTAGTTCTCCACCCACTGCACACGGCGGACAAAACAACGGCCGGGAAACAAACAAAGAGGCAGGGCTCGGTGTGTCACACTACTGCGTTTAGGTCGCTGCGCGATTCAATAGTAGACTAGAACGTGCCCGCCTTTGTGTGCACGCTGTTTACACTTGTCCTTCCATCAGCCGCCATCGAGCTTGCACCCGGCTTGCCTGCTAGGCACCCGAGACGATCGCAACGTTCTCCTTGTTATTTGCTTCTTTTCCATTTTCGGCCAAAACGTCCAGATATGATGCGGTTGGTCACATTCTAGAACACCTGAAAGAGCCCCTCCCTCCCACCGCCACCCTAACAGATCGCCCCGGGTGCAGTTCTTCGTGGAGTGGTTGGTGAACAATCGCTTCGATAAAGTGAGAGCTTGCTTCTCCTATGGAAGTTTCCTACAGAACGAGGGGTAGTAGTTGTTTACCGCCTCCGTCGAGACTAGTGTTACCACCTAGGCGATCCCGTCGCGAGGGTAACGTCGGCGTGGGCTGAACTACATGCACATTGACAGGTCGAACACCAGGTGACTGTCGTGTACAACTTCGAGAGGTGGAGCAACAACAGCTCACCTCATTTCGGTCGAACACCTTGGGCGGAGTCCCAGTGCACCTCGGTGTGAGATCTTTCGCGTCCAGGTCGGCGTAAGAGTCGTAAGACCCATTCGCGGCGGGGAAGTGGGTCGGGGCGATCTCTCTGCACAAAGAGAGAGAGAGAGAGAGAGAGAGAGAGAGAGAGAGAGAGAGAGAGAGAGAGAGAGAGAGAGAGAGAGAGAGAGGGAGAGAGAGAGAGAGAGAGAGAACAGAACGACAGATCATGATGAGGTCATATGGTCTATGTAGTGCCGTCGCGAACATCGGGTCAACTGACACCGTCCTTGAGAAAAGGGGAGACAGTGGGGAAGGCGCATGCATTCCGTCTCGGTAGTACGAACTTTCTGCGCGGAAACTGTATCTCTCTGGTGAATCCCTGTGGCGGTTAGCCTCTCTTACGCTCCGCTATTCCCCTCCCTGAAACGCTGGCGAATCTAATCAGTGAATAGACCGGGGCACAAAACTGGGCTCTTGAGGCGAATCCCCAAGATGAATGTGCTGGGTAGCAGCAGACCCCCCCCGTCGTGTACCTACCTCCAAATGACGGTGGCGTTTTGGCCCAGAACCGCCATGTCTTGGAGGACGGGGATCATGTCCGTCTTGAACTCCTCGTCGTCCTCGGGGATGTCGTGGTAGTGACCCCCGAAGTTGACCACGAACACGTCCGAGGCTCTCGTCTCGTTGAAGTCGCTCGCGGCCTTTAACAACCTGCGGCACCAGGAGAAGAAACACCCCCACAACAACAACGCCAGACACACAGCATGACACAGCAATCGTAAAAATGGTCTGTGGCTGTCTGCAAACACGCGGTGGGGATAGACTTCTCTCGCGCGGCATGTTTTGCTTTCAGCTCTTGTTCCCTTTAGAATGATTCAATCTTGATTCCATCCCCAATACTGGGAGGTTTGACCTCCTTCGCCCTACAAGGTGCATCGATGCCTAATCCTCACCCCTCGCATCATGCCTGCCGATCATGCTTGTGGTTCATCCCACTCCTTCGCTTGTCGTTTTGAGTACTCGAGAGCGCCTGTCTACGAGCTGATACAAAACCTTTCGTTGCATCTCCCATGAGGTCAAGACGCCAACATTTCGTTGCATAAACTGCGTACCACGTATACGGTACCTAGCAACGAGCCTCTTTACCACGACGTGGGGGAAAGCAGCACATGACTTCGATCACCTGCGTCGTTCTTCCTGTTTTCTGGGGGGGGGGGGGGGGGGGCTTGGCGCAACAGATGTGCCTCTCTCTGCCTCTTTTCTCTCACCAGTGCTCGCCCCTGGGCCTCGAAAGCATCCGCATGTGCACCGAGATTTCATTCCCATCGACGTCGAAAGTCTCCCCGTACCCCTCCACTTCGTCCTCCTCCGCTTCTTCATCTTCCTCCGCTTCCTCTTCCTCCTCCATTTCCTCCTCTAGTTCCTCCCCCTCCTCCTCCTCCTGTCCGTGCCCCTCTCCCCACAACAACCACCGCCCGTGCCTCTGGCTCTTGCGCCTCTTGTGTCCGAGGCCTCTTGTGCCTTTGGTTTGGGCGGTCTTTATCGAGGTGGTTGTCCTGCTTCGCATGGACAGCCTTACCTTTTGCCATGATGTTGCCCCAGCACGGATGAACTTCTTTTTTCGCGATTTCTTCTGTGTCGGGGCGGCAATTACGGTCGGTCACAGGGGCAGTCAGGCAAGCAGGCAGAGGCGAGGAGAAACCACGTGGGGAGGGGGGTACGGTGGCGGCAGTGGGTGGACAGCAACTAGGGGGCGAGAGATGGAAACGTGAGGAGACAGAAAGCGAGAGAGCGTTACTCAAAGAGAAAATTAACCAAGCATCTAAAAACGCAAGTTTCAGTAAGAAAACGTCAACGAAACGTCCGACCCACGCAGCCTTTGCTACAATGCTACATGCACCTCTACGCTCATATGTTATGCATGCGAAGAAAAGGTAGTGACTGTAGCATTGACAAAGGCACCCTTTGTACGTACCGAGGGAGGCCAGTCTAGGGAGAACCGCAGGGAAAATCCCGCCAGCAACTAGAGCTCACTGTCAACATTTCAACATTTTCAAGTTCAGAAACGAGGTACCTCCACGAGTGTGGTTTCCAAGGTAGATTTTCTGCAAGCCCTGCAATACTCAAGACCATATCAACGGAACCGTACACCATTCTCTCAAACTGTCTTGCCTCCAACGAAATCTTTTCGTTTGACCACCAGCATAGCCCAAAGTTATCAGCGCCGTTTCGAAACCCGAAGGTAGGCATTCCTCCAGGCTTGTCGCCTGGCTTACCTCTCGCGACACCGGGTGATCTGAAGCTGCAGGCGGGGGGAAGTCGCTCGTGGAATAGTCGTAGCATCTCTGGATCCAACCGATTGAAGGGTGATAGCAGTCAACCAGGGTAAAGTGCTTCGATCCGTCCTTGAAATCCAGCTGCCCGGGAGCAGCAGTAACCGTAGCGGAGCGAAAAGGGGCGGGACAAGGGACGCGTGAGCACGAGCCATCTAACCCAATCGAGACACGGCATTCGCGGGGAGCGGCCCTGTACAACACTGGGTGTCAACCCGGAAGGAATTGCACACTGTTGGAAGAAAACGCACGTTCGCCCCCCACACTCAATCCTCAGATCCCCACGAAAGTTCATTTCCCCCCCTCTGAGCTACAGGGAGGTAGATCTGCGTCGTCTCCACCTTGCTGTTTCGCGGGGCCCCCTTGGTCATCCAATCTGGGTGCCAGCCCAGCATGCCCATGAGGGAGTCCCCCTGCTGGTTCGACAGAGAGTCCCCCAGGAAAATCACTCGTCTCCCCTTCAAGCACTGTTTTTTTTTCCAGCGTCGGCACGAAGGCAAGAGCCAAGGTTGTCGGAGGGAGGGCACCGGTCAAGTTTCAGTGGAAGATCGAAAATCCTAGACCCCCGGCAGGGAGGAAGGAGGGGGCGATGATGAGTCACTTGCGGCGCCCTCGTCGTATTTTGTGAGTGTGTTTTTTTCAGGAAATAACGCCAAACGTGGTCGCTCCGCTGGTCTATCTAGTTGGTTAACCTCGCAAACCTACAAGCAGGTCGTCGCTTCGGTTCTCTCTTTTTCTTCACTTCGATATGAGAGGTGGGAAGCAATCAAAGTCGTGAGTGAAACCACCTCTGCCAAAGACTTCGTAGACGATGGAGTGTTTTGGGTGCGCGTGGCAAACGCCAGAGCCTCAACATGTTTGTTATGTTATGTTCCGGCAAGATACCCCGCGAACGGGTAGTCTTTTTTCTCTTATGTACATAAGATTTGGTCACTTTTCATGCTTCGGCGTTTGTTTCTCTCGCGGCAGCGAGTCTTTTCTCGTGGGTCCTTCTCAGGGGCACGCAGGAGGCTCGTCGGTATACTACCGCCCGTGCCCGGAGCTCGGTAGGCCTCCGTGGCGCGTGTGGTTGACAGCCAAAGTTGCGAAAACTGGCTCAAAACCCCGGGGACGCGTTCCACGCTGAAAAAGCCCGGCGAACCAATGCTGAAACCTATCAAACCCATCAAATACGACGGCTTGAAAATTTTGTCCCTTGCTTGTCCACTTTCGTTCGCATTCATTCATTCATTCGATGATTCATGGCTGTGACTCTTCGTGTCATCGCATTGTCCAACAGCAGCACCTACGTTTACTACACTTCACAGCGGGCCAAGTGTAGACAAGTCTGAGAGCATGCATCCAGCCGCAGTGTTAAACGTGTCCCATTTGTGGTGTTGTTTCGGCTTCAAATTCGGTTCTCATCGAAAATCTGCCATCATCAATCAAAGACATCGTCCACGAAAGAACAAGCGGGGGGGTCGTCGCTATTCCTCCACGCGTGTGCGTCAAACCGACCCCCCAAATCAGCAATGAAACGGGCTTTTTTTCGTGCCCTACCAAAAACCTTCACGAGAAACGGGGGAGGATGCGTCTTCCGAGAGCGGTGTCCTGAGCGTCCCACCTACACATATTTCGAGTTGTCGCAGTCCTTTCCATGTTTTCAAAAGCTATGAATCCATTGCTAATCTGTCTCAGACTCTTTTCTATGATGGAGATGGTTTCGTGGTGTCATATTAAAAAAAAAAAAAAGCGTCCACCCCAAAACTTAAACTCGTACCGTACCGAGGAGCGATCGATATTTCTGCTCCCAAACGCAATGTGAAGGCAGCAACAACAACAGCAAATGTCAGGCTAAACGGTTCGCTCACTCACCGAAGTGACGTCAGGGGGGAAAGGGAATCGCCTTGCCGTGCAGGGAGAGTCGAAGAAGTAGGAGGCTGCCAAGTAGGAGGCTGCCGAGAATTTTCACGTCGTTGGCGACGAAACGCCGTTTTTGGGGACAGGAGCGGTATTTGGTCGGAGAAGGCATGAACGTACATGTACGGGCTGCCGCGGCAGGTTTGCGTATAAGGTAAGGCTGGCTGTTATCGAGTAATGAGTTTTTCTGGAGAACCGGGTGTACTGCTGTACCATTCTACTTGTACTCAGGGCTCAGCTTGATGCTCCCGTTCTTTGTCCACCTGGCACGCACCGTGTTTGGAGTCGCAAGTGTACCGCCTTTCGTAGTCGAAGCGCATCCTCAGCGCGGCAGTCGAAGTCCTCGATGGCGCCGGGCTCCACCTGTCCTCCGGCGACACGGAGCACTCTTTCCATCCCGATGCCTTCCCGACGACGACGCCCAAGAACCAGAACACGAAGGGCACCAGCAAGCCGGAGGCAGCGAGTGAAGGAGGCGTCGCCGGCCGCTTGCCAGGAGCCTGTTTTCGAGTGCGAAAACATGAATGAATCCAATACATTATCAGAAAGAACCTTGGAAAATAAATGCAAAGCACAGGAAGGTGCTTGTCACGCGATGCTCCTCTTGGTGCTGAAGACAAAGCCGCGATACCAGTAGTCTACCGCGAGTGTGTCGAGATGTCGAGGTACAACGCTGGAAAAAGAATGCTGCTGCTTGCTACACAGATTGCATGTGTGTAGACTAGACCTGACGGCAGTAGAGTTATTTAAAACTCGAAAAAATGCATGAAACCAGTGAAAGAGCCCGAAAAGTGGATGAATCGAGTTTTATATCGGAGGCGACTTTTGGGCAAAAATGCATGAATCGTGAGCAAAAATATGTTTGGGGCTCCAGAGCTCCAAGTATATAGATTTGTGTTCCGAGACGAACAGACTGCTCTCTCTCTCTCCCTCTCCTCGCTTTTGCAGCAAACATCACCGCCGTCACAACAGCAAAGACACAGCACACAGCAGTCATAACAACGCCGCCACCACCGCCAGCCCCCAACCAAGCTTTCGGGCACTGCCCGAACGATTTTTTGTTGTGCTACGTGCGTATCAACGCGTACGTGAGGTTGCTGCATGCTGCTACACCCTCTCTTTTCCCCTATGCCCTCCTCTTTCGTCGTGCTCCTTTTTCTTTCTCGCTTTTTCTCTGGTGCCGCCATCGCACGCAAGCACACACGAACTAACGAACAGACACGGTTCCACAAGGCTAGTTCCACAAGGCTCGCCGCATAGCCTATAGGCTGCCCCGTTATTTTTTGGGGGGGAGGGCGGCCCTTCCTAGTCGGCATGGCGGGGAGGCTGGAGGTTGTTGTTGCTGTTGATGCACAGGGTGTGCGTATATATATGCCTGTCTGCCTGTCTTTTCTAACCCCTCTCTCGTTTTCTCTTTGGCACAAAAAAAAGAGAAGAAGGACCAACGGTTTGTTATCATCAACGTGCCCGCGTGCCAACATACAGAGTATCAGCTAGCGTGGGTTGGGGGCGTTCTTGGCAGAGACGACCGCGCCTTGTTCGCTATTCGTTTACTACGTTAGGGTGTGCATATTCGTATCACCTTGAAAAATGGCACTCTAATTTCGCATGCTGCTTGTTTCCGGTTGATCAAATTTGGCTGCACCACAAACGGCAGCCACCTGCCCACCAGCTGTCCGAGGATTAAGGAATAATAAAAACACACACAGAAAGACTACCCATTCGAGATATACCCACAGTCGAACGGGATGTGGTGGAGTCTTTTCAGTGAGTGGAGGGAAACCGGCTGGGTACTGGACTTATTTCGAGTCTTTTTGAGTCTATACACTGATGATTTATACCAGTGATGCCAGCTGGTGCTAAGTACAAAAACATCTGGTATAGGTAACTTACATTTTACAATACATCCCCTGTAGTTCTCTACTGGGTCAACGGCAAAATATCGGGGAGAAACCCTCCGTTGTGCCGTGTATATATATGTATTGGCGCAGCCTAATAGTCCTGTGTTTTTATCCTGTGAAGATCTATTCTCGAGTTTTATATCACGGGAGTTTTTCAGCAAAAAAAATGTACAAAGCAGTGAAAGGCCCAAAAAAGTCCTGCCGGTCCATGAATCGAGTTTTAAATAACTCTAGTGTAACAAGACACACTACAGTTCCGGCAATGTGTCCTCTTTCACGTGGCACCAGCTCAGCTACTGGACCCTTGGTATGATGATTCAGTCTACATGTACACCGGTGTCTCTCCTGTTTCGTACCCGAGGTCGGTCTTGTTTCCTGCATGACTTGAACCAGCAGTACCGAGCGATTGTTGAGGGTGTACAGCGGTACAAAGTAGGACGTACATCGGATCTTGGTTCTCATTTTCTGTGTGAAGTAGTATTTTTGTAGCGGCTGTCATCCCTCATATTTCAGACGCCAGCAAGCTCATTCAGTAAGTAGGGTTCTCAGCGCTCACTGCTGCAAAGAAGGCACCGCATCCCATCGAGTGTGTCTCTACCTGCGGGGCCATTTGCGGTCGAGATCTGGGGTCGTGGTGGCGTCGGAACTCGAGGAGCGTTGATTCAGGTGGGATTCACATCATCAATAATTTGATGCTGCTGAGAGCCGCTGCGATTTACAGTAGATGGAGTGATACTTCATACATGTACTTGCTGTGGGTGCCTGCGGGAGAAGCTAGCTCGCTTGGATCTACAATAGATAGCCGTCCATTCACATCGAGTAGGAGAGGTTCTTGCTGGGCTATCTTGACCTGGCGCGTGCCTGACGCGAGACACACACAACTGCATGCAAATGCAGTCCGGGCAGGTTGAGCAACAAAATCAAATCAAATTTTTACACGACATTCCCTTACCTCTATTTTGAAAAGACACACTTTGCACACACCCGTCCGCATGCCGTCTTGGACCTCTAGGGCAACAAGAGGAACGAAAGGTTGAACGATGTACAAGCACAACCACGACTAAATCACCAGCGCTGTTGGCATGCTGCGGAAGCCTGGACAATTCCAAACGCTTCCTCGTGAAAGAAGTGCTTGATGAGCAGAGTATTCCGAGAGCGAGCAACGGTACTTAGACTTCGTGGTTGACGCACCTGTTCCAATGTTGTTGACGTTGCTGGCGCCATGGCGATACTCTTCCGTTGCCCGGAACTCATCCACGGTACCTCGCAGGAGATCCTGGCGTAAACCGTCTCCCTGTCCTCACTGCCTCACGCTGGTGATGGTGTGCTGCTGTGATGGTATGATGGCCCAAATGGCGGTGTTCTGGATGTGCTCAGGGTAGGTCTTAACGAAGGAATCGGTTCTCGATTTCACTTCCCGATTTGATTATAAGACCACAAGATCCAAAGAACTCTCTTGTTGATTGGCTAAAAGTTCTGGAACCCGTGGAATCTTAAGGACTTACAGTCGGATCCCCCCAAATCGGGAATAAAAATAAAGGTAAAATGATTTGGTCGGATCCCGATTTGAGTGAAACGAAACCAACTTCGAACATTAGCGGTCCAGTCGACGGCAAGTGACGCACTGACGCAAAGAAAGTAGTGCCGTGGCAAAGCGCCACACCAAGCCGCGACACCAATCCAGCACGGAGTGCGCACAGGCACACCCACGGTGGGGCACCTTGTTGCGCAAGAGCAGTAGAGGAAGAATGCCCTATTCGCAAGGCGGGGGGCGTGACCAGGAGCATCACCAGCATCTGGTCCCGAAAAAAAACGTGTGTGGGATGTAGTGTTGGTCTGTGGGGCAATCTCCCGTCGGTTGTCGAACTTCAAACGCACAGACGAATTGGCGGCTTTCCGTCGGACGAGGGTCGATTCAAAGTGTCACATGCATAGACATCGTGTCAGTACCACACAGAGGCCATGTACGCGTTTGGTGTGTGCTTCTCGGGAGCGATAATAGCTCCCCATGTGGTGTGGCCACGTCATAGCAGTACGTCACAACAGCAATCTGGCAGTTGGCAAGCGGCGGACCTCTCGGGTTGTTCGTGGTGGACTGCAGAGATTCGTTTCCATTTGGCAGATCTCCCGTTAAGACACACAGGCCATTTCTGTCCGGATTTGGGTAGATCCGACTCCTGTATTCTTATAATCAAATTCAAAATCGAGAACCGATTCCTTTTTTAAGACCGGCCCTCAGAACAAGGGTCGTGTTTGTGCAGCCAAAGACCGAAAGGTGCGTCACGAAACTTGGGCACGATGTTTTCAAGATGTTTTCGCACAACAATCAATCAACAACACGAATACACACCCGCATCCCGTTGTGCCCGCCCTGCTGCCTCGTTTGTCTAACTGGTGCCCACACCGCTCAGGTCTGATCGCTGTACATTCAGGCTCAGACCTCAGACACACTGCCGGACCAAGAGGGAGGGCGAAGATCCGCAGATTGGCAGAATGGACGAAGATATTTCGACCTCTCGGAAACCGATGAAGTTTTTTGTTCTGCCGTTCGGTTTCTTCGGTCTCAAAGAAAAAAAAAAAAAGAACACACAGGAACACGGAATAACATAAGCGCCCATGAGCGGACCGTGATGTATGTATGTATGTGTGTGACACTGCTGTATCGCTGTGGAGCTGCGTTCTCTATGTATGATGTGTCCTCGCATCCAATAAAGAAATAATGGAACGAACGATTTCTTTCAAGTCTCTTCGTCTCGGAACACAAATATATAGACCAGCACTCTGTCTGCTCTCGGCTCTCGGGGTTCTCTTCGCTTTCCGTCTGTCTCATTCCCTCTGCAGACCAGCACTCTGTCTGCTCTCGGTTCGTTCTCTTCGCTCTCCGTCTGTCTGCAGCTCATTTCTGCACGCCCAGCATTCTGTCTGCTTTCGGTTCGTTCTCTATGTGTCCTCGCATCCAATAAAGGAAAAAGGAACACACGATTTCTTATTCGACACGCTAGCCCCTCAGGCAAGTGCCGCCCCGCACTTGGACCACAACCGATACATACCCTCACACCCATACTTCCCATACGCGTATCCCCCACAGAGGATGCACAGGTCGGACTCATATCTAAGTACCACAAACAGCCCCCCTACTTAATACGATGTATGATCTTGCAACCAATGCAAAAACGCAATCAGCAAACATAGAAAAACACCCCTTGAGAAAACTTATTCAACAAAACTGGCTACACATCCAACACAACGCGTCTCCATCAGTTTATTCACGAATCCAATGTTGGGATGTAACCTTTGTGATAGGTGTATCCCTGGCAGTGGCCACTGTGTAGTAACAGTGTGCAGAGGCTCACAGAGTGACTGCAAAGTACACTTGTGTTGTAGACCAGATGATATGGTTGTATTGGCGCTTAGTTGGCCGAAAGGTCAGAAGAGAGAAAGGAGAAGAAGAAGAGACTGAACGAGTGGGGGCGAGCACCACGGGGGTGAGCCATCCACCGTCATCACGGAAAGGAAACACACACGGGCTATTGCAACGTACCGATCACGGTAATAGACGGTCACTCCGACCTATGGCAACGTTTCTAGAATATCCTATAGGACAATGGTCCGATGTACCATGCTTCTATGGTTCAATGTATAACCCGTAGGTGTGTACAATGATCCGATTACTGAATCAACATACCGAAGACTATTCCGGTAATACTCCTTAGATGAATACCTACTTACTGTTGTTTACAGCAGTGCAAACTCTAATGACTGACATTGAGTATTCCAACATCCACAGCGTTCGTCTCTGGAAATAATCTCAAACCGTTGACACAAAAGAATCATCCTCAGAAAAGTATCCAACAATTATTTGTGCTACATCAGAAAGGCGTCGAAGAAAACGGACATTTCTGGAAAAAATAACTTCCAAAAGTCTTAAGAGTTGACACCAAATCCTCCAACAAAACAAAAACTCAACTTCTTGACCAATCAAAACGAGAATTCGGAAAGCACAATGAATGGCTCCAACCATTAATCGTCAAAACATGTCAAACCCTTCCTCCAATACCAAATCCTAAACAGCGCGCACCCGCTAATCGGTACCGTCGCTGTTGTCCAAGAAACGATAGAAAATATAAGCAAGCATCCACGCAAACAGCCCCCCTGCTGTCAGCTCCCAAAATTCACCCCGAGCTAATATCTCGATGTCAACAGTCCCCCCTGCTTTGCCGTTCACCTAAAACACAAATAGACAAGGCCAGAAAACGAACCAATTCGATTGCTGCTCACGCCCTCTAGAATCATGGTCATACATGACATCCTCCCCCATGATTTTCGATGCAAGAGCAGCAAAACATGCGATACAAACCAAAAACATGACAACACGTTACACACATGGCATCAAACTCCGGAAAAAGTTCGTACCGTATGAAAACTGTCTTTGCAACTGGAACTACAAAAGCTACCCTGCTCCCTGAGCCACATGCCTTCACGCACGTCAAGCAACGCGCTATCATCCCATTTCTTGCGCGCGGCCAAAAACACACCGCAGAGAGCGACCGCTTAACTCAGGACCAAGCATAAAAAAAAAACCAAAAGTATCGAAACACCCTAAGCGCAAAACGCGACTGAACGTACTCCCGCCAAAGAATAGGGAAATAATATGAAGCATTCAGCTGCAAGGTAAAACGCGACTGAAAATATACCAAGAACCAAGGAGAAAAAAAAAATGATAAAAATACCCACGTGCTGCTTCCTATTCCACAGGTTGTGGCAATGCTTATCTTGTCGCAGCTGTGGAGACCACCTTCATAAAGGTAGAAACTCCCCAACGTCTGTCGAGGACGAGTCCCTCTTTTCACAATGGCGTCGACGAAGAGATGTCAGGGTGTCTGCTTTTGGTTGCAAAAGACACGGGTTCAAAACCCGCTGGTCACCAAATTTTCTTCCGGAAAACGGAAAAAGAAAAACGGTGGGTGGGCCAAGGGAGGACGCACTGGCTAGTCTGCTTTTGGTTGCAAAAGACACGGGTTCAAAACCCGCTGGTCACCAAATTTTCTTCCGGAAAACGGAAAAAGAAAAACGGTGGGTGGGCCAAGGGAGGACGCACTGGCTATCGAACTCGGAACTTCTGTAAACGTGGCGGACGTAGCGAATCCGTAAAACACGTACAGAGGATTGTGAGGAATGTGAATCGCCCCGCCGCCAGCCGGTCGGGTTCCGGTTACCCCAAGAAGACTTCTCTTGCCTGGAAAACAAGAAAAAGTCTCGAAAAAAGGGGGGGGTAATGTGGAGACCACCTTCATAAAGGTAGAAACTCCCCAACGTCTGTCGAGGACGATTCCCTCTTTTCACACAGCGTACATTTATTATCATGAAACCAAGTTCAGAAAAAAAAAAAAATACGCACACGCCGTGGCACACGTCTTTTCTGCATCAAAGTGCACGGTGCGCTCGCAAGGGAAAAACAGAGCAAAAAAATAATAATACGAAGCCAAATGGCGAAGCTAAAACGTCCATGCCTGCTCACAAAACCAAACAAAGTCGTAAACGTTTCACATGATTTCCCACTTGGCTGTAACAACGTGAGGTCGTCGCTGTCACCGTGTCCTCCCCGTTCCCGGTCGACTCGAGGGCGCCACCGCTGCTGCCGCCGCTGCCATCGCCGCCGCTGCCGTTCCCCCGCCGTCACGACCGTCACGGGTTCCAGCGCCAACACGGCTGCCGGTAACGTCGCTGCTGCTGCTTCTACCACCGCCGCCGTTGTCGCCGCTGCCGCCGACGGGGCTCTGGCCAAAACCGCCGCTGCCGTCGGGGCGGCCGCCGTTGCCGCCGTTGGAGCTGCCACTCCCGTTCCTGCCCCTATCGAAGGGGTACGCCACCCATGGCACCGCCCCCCGTCTCCTCGCGCCACGCGAAGATGTCTTACCGGGGTCGAAGGGGTGCGTCGGGGCTCCACTCCAGGTTTCATCTAACCCCCCCGTTCCCATCACCGCCGCTTTCCTCGCTGCTGCTGCTGCTGCTGCTGCTGCTGCTGCTGCTGCTGCTCACTTCCTCCTCAGTCTTCCCGGGATCAAAAGGGCGCGTCGGGGCTCCACTCCAGGTTTCATGCAACCCCTCGTCGCCGCCCTTGCGGCCGTCTGGACACCCGACGCCAACGCGGCGACCGGGGACACCGCTGCTTCTGTCGCCGCCGCCGTTCCCCCCGTCACCGATGTCGCTACCGCCGCCGCTGCGGCCGCTGCTGCTGCTGCTACTACTGCTGC